AGCCATAGTTTTATTTGTAATTACAATAATAATCATTGATAGTCTGGCACGTTAGTTTTTAAGATTACAAAAACCCCCTTGCCTTAAATAGCAAGCTATACAATTTGATTTATGCACGAGGCAGAAAAACCCATGATGACTGGGACTTTACCTCAAACTATGACTCCAGTTCCTGTTTCAGAAGCACACAGCCTTCTAATTTGTCATCACTTTTTAAAAGTCTCTGAGTCCGTAGTTAACCCCGAGCAGGGTCATATATATGAGTAATGTTTCCGATACACCCTGATCAGGACTAAGGAAATGGCATCAGTAATAAGTGACCACTAGGAATGAAAAACTTCAGAAATGCAGGTATTCGAGAAATCTTAAGCAAATGCTTCCCAGAGCTGGGGGCGGCGTCAGACCCTGTACTTGGCTGGGTCAACCTCCCGACACCGTCCCCCAGGCGGCCTCGTCCACCCACTGGGGTCTTACACACAGCAGGGACGTCCCAGCACCTGGCTGAGAAACGGATGTCAAAAGATGGAAGCCCATGAGACGATTAGTATTTCTGTTGTGCGTATTCTGACGGATATTGAAGAATTGTTACATTTTGTACAATGTAATCATCATAGAAAATGCAGATAAGGAAAAGCGACGTCACTGCTCAGAGATTATTATGGCTGATGTGTTGGCTCACCTTTCTGTGCAAACCTTTGGTCCACAGTCTTCATGTACATTTAACACCTTATATCTGATCTGTGTGTACACACATGCCTGCACACATCTGGAAAATAATAGTGCTACGGGCCTTTTTTTTAAACTTAATATTTTGGGAGCTTTCGTGTACAGCCTAATGTACAACTCTGGACAGTTGACCCCCTCCGGGGCTCAGAACGTGGAGAAGTAACTCGTTTTGGCACTGAGAGACTGAGGTTGCCCATGTCGGCGTGGCTGTGACTCAGTGTCTTTCAGACAGGTGACATCCCCGCAGAGCCCAGCCCAGCAGCTGCATGACTGCTCAGTACACACGCTCTGCGTCTCTCATGTCTCACCTGGGAATGACGTCACTGGGCTGGAGGAAGTGGGTCCCATCGGACCCTGTCTCTGCAGCCCCACTTCCTTTCCGCGTGTCATTTCCATAGTTACCTCGAGGTGGGAGGCACTTTTATCTTCCATTCCCGGCAAATGGAGTCTGTCATCATTTGTTCAGCTCTGGCTTCACAGCGCAGTCCTGCGTGTAGTCTGAAGTGACTGTTCACTTTGCTCTCGCTCGACACCATGATACAGCTCTCCGCCGGGAAATGGTGACGAGTTACATGAAACGACGATGCTGTTGCTGGTGGATTTTGTTTCCACCTTCCTTGGTCGTATGTAGGGCTAGCCCAAGAAACAGCCTCCTTTTCCTATTTTGTTCCCCATGTGTTAGGCTAGTTTATTTCAGACAGCGGTCTGGGTGAGTTATTGTTAGTGAATGATGTTGTTCCGAAGAGCGCAATACAATACACTGGGGGCTGCAAAAGCATCAGGAAAGAGAAATTTAAAAAGACTGTATTTTACCGACGTTTATTTTACCAACACACTGCTTACACTTTGATTTGAAAAACCTACAGCTGCATGATAACATGCAAAATTGTGGGATTTCACATTTAACAGGCGAGTGCCCTTTTTCCTTTGAGTATTTAAACATTCTCTTCAGAGGCCAAGATGATGTCAATCCAGATTTAGGAATTTCTAAAACTTATACAGAGCCTCAACTGAGAGCGATGCCATAAAAGGAACTGTGTATTTTTATTTTCTTTTAGGAATAATAAAATCTTCAGTGCAGTATATTCTCTAATCAAAAGCTTCTAAGTTAATAGAATTAGTTACATCAAAAAAAAAAAAAAGGGAGGAAATAAATCCTTTCCAGCTTTGTCACTTGTTGGCTTTATGTCCTCGGATTATGCACCTATTTAAATATTTTAACAGAGTGTGTGTTTGTGAAATTGATGCATGGCTTGCAGATATCTTTGGTCAAGAGAAAAAGTCATGAATGTTTGGAAACTGGGTGAGGGCAGAAGAGTTTCAGCTTTTGGAAGTTCCTCAGGATTCTTGGAATCGTCCTGAGGGCTTTGGTGTCCACGGTTTCAGGGGTTAATGACATGTGCAAAGAGTGGGAGGCGTGCAGAGGGAAACGTTTAAGGCTGAGCTGGGCTCCCAGATCTGTGCCCTGGCCGGGACGGGGAGCCTGTGCTTTGAAGTCGGGACCCGGGACCAGATGGACCGTCAGTAGTTGTCAGCATGGAAGCAGCCAGTTCAAAGGCAGCTCCAGACAGCGCCTGCCAAGTTTCATCTCGAACTTTACAGCGGCCATCAAATGGTTGCAGGCTAAGCAGCATCGTGAAAATCTGTTTACTTCTCAGCATCCCAGGCCGTCCTGACCCTGCGTTCTCCAAGTTATTTATGGAGGCCTTTGGGGCTACATTTGCCAAGCATGGAATGACTCAATATTCCTGCCTTCCTTTCCTCTCCTCTCCGGTTGATTATTAACAACAGCTGTAATTTGAGATGAACGCTGCTGCCCCCTTAACTTGGAGGAAGGCGAGTGGAGAAGTGGAGTGTGTGTTCTTTTATGTAGAATCAACCAGGAAGGAGGCAGTGTTTCAGAAGGAGGGAACCGTGTGTCCCCCCAAAGATGAAGACTCACAATTTCCTTCTTATGACATTTTAAACCATGGTCTCGGTTACTGTCCGGGTTCAGGTGTGTGGTTATTTATTACTTATTAAAGATGGCCTCGCATTGACTATTCAGAGACGTTTCAGATGAAGCCAGAGCGGCTGGTTTCTCGAGGCGTCAGAAGGATCCCCGACGCAGTGTCCTAATCTGGCCTTTGGGCTCGGATTAAGTTTATGATTTGAAACCGGATTCAACAGTTGACTAAAACCCAGAAAGCCCTAAGCAGTGAGTTTGGAAAACCCATCTCTCTTGCCTCTGCTCGTTAATGGGAAAATTCATGGCTTCTGACAGGGGCTGAAGCACCTACAAGGCCCCCTTTGGCTGCGCCCATGGACACGTCCTGACATGATAATGGACGTGGGGACACCATTGGCTTTGCCTCAAAGGAGACTGTGGCCCATGCAGTGGTTTTTCAGAGCGTGACACAGAGAAGACCATTCGTTCTGTGGGACGGGCCCCCTTCCGGCGGATGGAATCGTGCTCTCCAGCGACGGAGCTTTTATTCCTTCCCTAGAATGCCGCGCTGCCTGCTAGCTCTCATTCCTGCTTAACGTCTGGCTTTCCCTCCCTTTTAGTAAGATTTAGTGGCTCCGTGTGGGTGCAGGACATTGACCTTTTATTCAGAATAATTGCACATTTTGTATGGAAGGACATATTGTTAGGAATGACCCACTCTATTAGTATGAGTGAGTGAACTTAATTTCCAGGTGTTGGAGAAGGTTGCCACCAGGATGTCGACTCAGTTGCAAACTGAACTAATTGGTTGGAGGAACTGAAGTGACTTTTTAAAGCTGTACCTTTTACGGTGGGATGGGCGTGACTTTTTTAAGAAGGGGCTTTGTTCAAGGGTTGAGGCTTCGTTGACACCACGTGGGGGCTGAGCGTGGCGGCTCTGAGCTGCAGTCAGAGTCTGAAGTGAACTCTGTCTTCAGGACACGGGCCTTATATTCCTGGAGGCCTTCCAGCCAGCTTCTCTGTGCAGTGGGAATGAGAGGAATGTGCCCTCCAGTGAGTTCTACAGAAGCATTCTTTCCTGGGCGGTGGAGGTCAGTGGCTCCAAGGCCCCACCAGACCCTGCTCCTTTCAAAGGACTGTTTCTTGAGAGCTTGGCCCCCCGCTGAGGCCAGACCGCAGGAGCTTGGAGCCCGGGGACCGCCCCACGGAACCAGACAGACCGACGGGTGGGCCTCTCAACTGCTTCCACTTGACTGTGGCTGTTCTCGCTCGTGCCCCTTGGCCGTGAAGCGTGCTGACTGATAGTCTTAGGGCGATGGTGCCAAGAAAGGAAAATGGACACTGAGTGAGGTTAGCTGGGTGCCCACGCTGGAGGGGTGAGCTGTTACTGGCCTCAGAGTTAAGTGATCACCACGAGCATAAGTGGGCGTGTACATACCTGTGTTTCGGGTGTATAAACTCAGCTTTGCTGTGTGAGACTTCCACTCAGGTAGCTCCCCATTGTTTTTTCTTAGATCACATAGTTGATCCACTGTGGTGAGGCATTTCATTTAAGAGTGTGTGTGTGTGTGTCAGCGTGTGGTGGGTGAGAGTGTGTGTATGTGAGTGTGTGTCAGTGTCAATGTGTGTCAGTGTCAGTGTGTCGTGGGTGAGAGTGTGTGAGTGTGAGAGAGTGTGTGTGTGAGTGTGTATGTATGTGTGTATGTGGCGTGTGAGCCTGTGTTAGTGTGATTGCATGAATGTTTATGTGTGTACATATACCGGGGGTGCCAAAAGCATGTACACAAGTGGACACTTCGGTCAGCGTTCCTCAAGCAGTAGTTGGCCATCATCAGAAGTGTCTGGACGCTGATGGGAACCACTTTGAACACCTCTTGCAATTGCAGAAGTGAAACGTGACTTTTATTCATGTTTCGTTATCGGTATATATTGAGTATTACAATTTTAATAGTTTTTTTCCTTTCTGAAAATAGGTATACCTTTTTTTTTGGCACCCCTAGTATATGTAGATATATCATTTCATTTGAAAATAGGTTGGGAGCCAGATGCACTGTGTTGTTTTTTTTTTTAAGTCATGTTTATTACTCTGATCAAAATTATATAATAGTGCATGGTTTTACAGTATGAATGATATTTTATTTCACATGGTTATACTATGTGACTAGCTCACAATCCAGGGCCATTTTATAAGTTTTGTTGTTCAAAACGGTGTTAATGGTGTTGTAGGGCAAAAAAGACCTCATTGACAAAGAAACTACATTAATTTAACAAAATACAGAATGATGTGCTGCTACCACCGGTTACAGGGTGGCTCTAAGCAAGCCATTCCCCCACCTCTCACAGCAAAGGGGGTCAGGAGCTAGGAAAACCAAGTGGCACCTGTAACACACTCATATAAAGGTCAAGCTTGTGAATTATTAATCCATCGTGCTTGACAGTGAGAGAATTAAATGTAAGTCTGAAATCTGGAGAATATTCTCACTTCCTCTTCTTTGTGGAATATAGTTTTTCATCCAGTGGGACTGGAACAATTCCTTCACACTCCTTTACTTCCTGGGTCAGGGGGTGTTTTACAATATTCGGTCTGATCACATCAGTGTCTTGAGACAAGTTACTCCGTCATGCTTTCAACAGTTGTTGTTGGTGCATAAAAATGCAGCAAGAAATACCCCCCTCTATTATGCCGCTGACTGTGGGCGGACATCTTGTACGGAAGTGCCCGTTCACCCGGGTTTTCCAAGCTCCTCCCTATGGCCCCTCTGCCCATCAGGGCTTTCATCGTGCGTTTCAAAGCAGCAGCGGTCTCTGGCCGCTGCATGGCTTCCAGGATTAAAGCCAGCTCGTAGCGGGGCATATGCCCAAATGCTAGGCACGCGACTTGGACCGAACCGGCTTCCGGGACACTGAGAGGCGGGGACAGTGGGGAGCTGACGAGGTGCTGGCCGGAAGGCTCACCCGCACTGCGTTTTTATCAAATGGGAACATGAATGGAAGAAACTCTTCTATATGGTCCTTCTCATGATTTGCCATTTTAGGAAATTTAATGCCATAATTTAAGACCAAAATTCGAACTGACTGGCATATATTACCTTTCACATAATTATTCTAAGCTAGCCAATTTGGCAAGAAGACAAGTCGTGTAGCCAGCTGCTGCAGTGCTAACGAAGTAGGGACCCTGTTTGGGTGAAGAAAATGCACGCACACCTAGAAAGGGGCCTTCGGTGGATGGTACATGTGGGCTGGAATGGTAGGTTGTAGCTCAGACTGAGCCGTTATTTAGGAGCCAGTGACTCCAGGATGCTGTTGGCATCACCAGGCCTCCACCGTCTGGTGGTGCATTCTCGGGGAGCATACCTGCCTGGCCTTCAGCTATCCCATGAGACCTGACTTCAAATTTTAGGGATGCCAAGTTTCAAAACATTCCCTGTGAGGAAAATCAGCTAGTATGCCAACTTCAAGTATGATTGTTATTTTAGTTAAATCTTAGGTACATGCTATTCAAGAAGAAAGGAAAATGACTTGTTTCAGAATAAATGAAATACATAATAATAAAAAAAAGGTTTTTCCCAGCAGGATTGTAAACAATAACAATCGTGAATGATCGAGCGTCTTCACGTCCATGTGTCCGTGTGTGCATGCGAGCCTTTAAAATCCTGTTAGAAGTACAATTTCAAAGTGAATTTGTTCAGAGGAAGGGCAAAAGGTAATGTGGTTTGGATGACATCAGAGTTTCTCAAAAAACCCTCTTTGTTTTAGGGTTTAATTATTTTTAAATAAAAGTTACAGAAAAGCTTGTAGGCTATTTGATAGTGCTATAAACCGCTCACATATTGTAGCAATTTGAGGAAACTGGAAGCCCCCGGAGTGGGAACGGTGGACGTGTGTCCTTGGCTGCCTCTGTCCCACACTCGGGAATGGGGCATAATCGGGACAGTGAGCCGCTGGTGCGCCTCCGTCCAGACAGAGCTGATGACCGCCCGCTGCAGCAGTGCCTCTGTCCCCACGCTGCATGGCGGCTTCCAAAACCCCCAGGTTTGCCTCCCTCGGGGGTTCTGACGTTTTCATTTTAAGGTAAAGATGACGACGTGCTGCTGTTGGTGTCCTCATCTAGGCATCTGATGTGAAAAGTGGTGTTGTAAGTACTTTTTAAGAAGCTTTCTGCTGGAGGGACGGTGCAGGTGTTGAGGCTGTTTCACCCCTTGCCTGAGTGCAGAACATGCCTGGGTGTGACGAGGGAGCCACCACCCCCGCCCGTAGCGCAGAAGGTCACTCCGAGTTCCAGGTCAGTCTTCCCAGGTCATGGATCAGGACTTGGGTTTAGGTCTCCTGGCCCAGAAAGGGCCTTCTCCACAGCCAAGTTACAGTTTTATAACTTGTGCTTGGTGCTTTCGGTTTTTGTAGTTTGTAACTCTTTTGCTGTTACCAACACTTTTCTTGTAATTTCCCGCCCTTGTGGTAGATGGACAGACACCCTGTGACATGTGTGTGTAACGGTTACCGTTTTGCCTCATCTCTTGACTTGGCGGCCTTTGTCCACATGTCGCGGGACATTGTCCTGTCCATGGACTCGGCTGACCTGATCCCCAGGGAAGGTGCAAGCCTAGGGCCGCTGGGGTTAAGAGAGAGGTAGTGTAAGCAAGGCCCCGCGTGCTTAACTGTTTGGAAGTTTCTCGTCTAAAATATGTGGTGTTTGGGGGAAGTCTGTTAATTTTCTTGTTTGGAAGAGGCTCGTGCCGTCAGGAAGAAGCCCGTGGCTGGTGTTCACCTCAGGGGAACTGGGAGCGAGGCCGACACGGGTGCTTTTCCAGGACACAGGTCACCCTGAGACTGCTTGTCCGCGTGCTGACCCTGCGGGGCGGGGGGTGGGTAGAGGAGCACTTGGCGTCACTGGAGAAAGTCCTGGTGGGTGGTACGGCAGGAACCCGTAGTCACCTCAGAAACGGTCACTCCGCATTCTGATGGTCACGGAAAGGTCATTGTCACCTCTCAGGAAAAGTGTGAATCTCAGGGGTACTTCCTTCTTTCCACCAGTTTTGCCCCTCTAAGTTCTAAGTCCCTGCTCACCTCCCAGAATGCTTATCTCAGGTTTGATGCGACGCTTCTGCCCTCCTCACCCGGTGAATCGGAGAGAAAAGGTTTCCTTACTAGAAACGGTGACACGGCCAACGGGTCAGAAGTACAGAGGACGGGGGACCAACTGAAGCGGGCGTGATCAGCCAAGCCGTTTGTGGATAGCACACAGGACAAGGGTGTGTGATCTCCTAGAAATAAAACATTAGGGGAACGGGGTACAGGGCCCCCCCATGTGCTCAAGGGACTTACAAGACACATCAGTAAAGCAGATGAGGCCAAACTGTGGTTCCAGGGACGCTGGAACTACCGAGTCAGGACTACGTAGTAATTAACGCAAGGCGACCGCTGCAGAAACCAGGATGGCGGTCCCCTGTGTGGCACGGGGTGGAGGGGCCTCTGTGGCCACATGGCGGGGCTCCCAGGGGGCTGGCAACACCTTCTTCTTGACCTGGGTGTGATTACAAGTGTCCCCTGTAGAGCAATTTATTAAACTGTGCTTTGGTTTTGCATATTTTCTGAATCTATGTTTTATTTTACCATAAAAACGTTTACAGGAATTAAGGGAATGGCAGTGTGCCTGTGATGACTCTCCGCGGTCACACATGGCTTGGGCGGTGCTCACCAAGGTGGCACAGACCCACCCATTTTACAGCAGGGAGCTGAGGCTCACAGGAGCCCGCCCGTCCACCCTCGTTGTACACGAGACAGCCTGGCTTCCGTGCCCGCACCTCTGAGGCTGTGTCAGGCGGGGTCGGGGGTCAGGGAGGTGGCCGGCTGCTCTGTGCCTCGTCTCTGAGAATCAGACCTGTTCCCGGGTGGTTGGCAGAGTCGGTGGGAATCATGTTATTGGTGACTGGGAAGTTGTACCTCTCCTGGGTCTGTGGAGACGTTTTGATGAAAGCCTGGAACCTCGGTGGGTGGAGACAGGTTAGCAACCCGGGGCAGGGTTAGCAGGGAAAGGAAGGCGTGAAGGCTGTTTCAGGCTCTTGGTTTGGGTTTCGAGGCTTCAGAGTGCAGACCCAGGTGGGAGTTACCTGGCGGCGAAATCTCTGTGTCCGCCACATGGATACTTGCCCATGGTTACTGCCATCGGAAATGTCGTTGGAAAACGACGGCTGCAGGGCCTGCGGGTGATGCCACCCCATAGGAGCGGCCAGCTCAGAAGTGACGGGGGAGTGTCCCCCTTGGTTGGACTTGAACTAGACGAGACCTTGGACCTGGGGCGCTGTCACTATGACAGGAGACAGGAGCAGACTTCCGCACACCTCTGCCGGGGCTGCTTCCTGTTAGGGCCAGAAGTGACATTCGAGTTATTTAATATGTCAGAGCGTGCGAGGCTCCGGCTGGAGTGGAAGCCGTTCACCCAGATGGACCCCTGCCAGTCAGAGTGGACACGTCTGGCGCTGTGCCCGGCCACTGCAGGCCTGTCACCCAGTGGGATCACAGGTGGGTTCCTATCCACGGAAGCTGCCTTTTGACCCCAACTGCAATATGGGGCAATGAGAGGCCGTTGTCCAGTGTGAGCCTGCACTTAACGGACACTGTGTACCCCTCACATGCTTCTTAATTGAGTCACAGACTAAAATGGGGACGTTCTGTAAAAACACGAAAGGATTTATGACTGTGGTTATCTGTGTGATTGATGAATGCTTCACTGTGGTTTTTAAATTAACTGTGAGCAGAACCACTGTCGGAACACAGGAGACTCGAGTGTCTGGAAAATACAAGGGCCGGGAAGCCGAGGGGGCTCCAGGGCTGTCCCGGCACCTCCTCCAACACCTCCCTGCTCCACCGGGCGGCGTCCGGCCTTGCGGGGCTGTGAATGTGCCTTGTGGCCCGCGGCGGCGTCTGTGCTCCCTGCCCCTTCCCAATGTCATGCCCACCGTGTCGTACTCCTGAGCCTTCCCTGGGCCTCCTGTCCCGCAGATAGCACCGTGGGGGCTCCCGTGGGGGTCTGTGCCCCAGCCCAGTGCCTCTCCCCTGCGCTGCTGGCTTGTGGGCTGCTCGCTGTGCAGCGGGCTGTCCGGGGCACTGCGAGTCGTTTTGCAGCCTCTCTGGTCTCCACCTCTAGTGGCCGGCATCCCCCAGCCCCAGTGACAACCAAGACTGTCTCCAGGCTTTGCCAGGCGTCCCCTGGGGGCAGGATGGCTGTGCAGACCCACCTTGGTGTGTGGTAACAGGCAGAGTAAGTGGGGTGCGGCAGAGGGACGTGGTCACACTCCCCAGGTTTGCCAGATTCCAGCCAGCTTCCCATCTGTGAGGCTCTGCCTCAGAGGTTTGCGCTTCTGCGTGTCTGATAGGTGCCAGGTGCCAGGTGCGCTGCCCACCAGCGTCTCCTGCAGCCCTCTCAGCTTCGCCAGGTGATGGTGTCACTTCCCCCCGGGTTACGGTGACAGGCGAAGCCCAGGCTCAGGCCGACCCCGTCTCTGCTCGTGACCTCTGCGCCCAGTGCGTCTTCCATCCTGAAGGTGGGCGGGAGGCAAGCGCCGGGTCACGTTCAAGTCCTCCAGCAGCCCGCGCTCAGGTGCACGCACAAGCGTGGCTTCTCCCACCATCATTAACTCAGGTGTGAAGCTGGTCTCTGTTTACTTGGATTGTACAGCAGGTCCTCGGATAACGTCGTTTCATTGAACGTTGGTGCTTTATAACATTGATGAGGGGAAAATCCACGCCCGGCTGGGGCCACTGTGTGTGTGGAGTGTGCACGTGTCCCCATGTCTGCGAGGGTTTTCTCCCGCGTCCCAAAGATGCGCGAGGAGGTGAGTGGCGTGTCCACATTGT